ATCATCATCACTTGAATAATAGCAACAAATCCTGCTATTGGGCTCATCGTCGATGGTTAGATGAAAATCATCCTTGGCGGTATGATATGGAGTCTTTTAGCGGGGAAAAGGAAGAGAGGACATCTGAAGATCCTTTAACAAAGGATCAAATTTTAAGCTTGTTGGAAAACTGGGAAAACAAGTTTGGAAATTTACAACCAAAGAAGAAATATGTAGATTGTCCATGGAAAAAGTCCTCTATCTTCCACACTTTGCCTTATTGGAAAGATTGTGGGTGTCGTCATCATTTGGATGTCATGCACATTGAAAAAACATATGTGATAATGTGCTAGAGACTTTGTTAGACATACCTGGAAAGTCAAAAGATCATCATAAGGCTCGATTAGATCTGCAAGAAATGAGTATAAGGGAACAACTACACCCTATAGATGCAGGTGACGGGCGGTATGTTTTGCTGCCCAAAGCATCATTCTCAATGACGAAGGAAGAGAAAAGCATATTTTGTAGTGTTTTGAAGAAGGAAAAGCTGCCCCAAGGTTGTGCATCGAATATTGCAAGGTTTGTGCAAGTGAAGGAGGGGAAAATATCGGGAAACAAGAGTCATGATGCTCATATAATAATGCAACACTTGCTTCCGTCAGATATTAGAAAAACTTTACCAAAAAGCATGTTGCTTTACCTCTTATAAGATTTAGTGGATTTTTTAGAGAAATATGCAAGAGAGTCATCAATCCAAAAGATTTGGATCGCCTTCAAGCACCAATTGTTGAGACTCTTTGTGAACTAGAAAGAATATTTCCACCATCTTTTTTTGACATAATGGTCCACTTACCGATTCATTTAATTCATGAAATAAAGCGTAGTGGACCAGTTTGTGATTGGTGGATGTACCCTATAGAAAAGTACCTTGGAAAGTTAAAATCATATGTTAAAAATCGATGTCGCCCCGAGGCTTCTATAACTGAAGGTTATTTGGCTAAAGAGTGCTTGATATTCTGCTCTAGGTATTTAAATCCAAGTGTAAAGAAGCGATCTAAGTGGTTTAACAAAAGTCAAGAGAAAAGTAATGAAATTGATGAAGAATCACCTTTGTTCCCTAAGGTAGGTTATCCTCTTGGGAGGAAAAAGAAAGGGAAGAAGAAAGGGAAGTCATACACTCTTGATTCAAACACAATGACTCTAGCACTTCGTTATGTGTTGTTTAATTGTGAAGATGACCAAGTTGAGAATTACATCAAGTGAGTAATTTTTCGATTATCTTATTACTTTGTGTTTGAATTTATATTGTTTTATTATCTTACTTATATGGTTGTTTAATACCATGAAGGGAACATGAAGAGTTTGTAAAGAAGAAGTCTAGAGATAAACGAAAAAGAAGGTGGAAAGAGGCACAAGAGCATAGCAATGAATTCATGGTTTGGTTTAGAGGAAACGTTGAGGTGGATAATGTCCCGGATCATATCAAGTGGCTATCCAAAGGTCCTTCTAGTGTTGCGCGGAGCTACACCGGATATTTTTTTAATGGATGTAAGTTCTACACAAGAGATCATGATGAAGAGTGTAAAACGCAAAATAGTGGAGTCTCTTTGACATCTTTGACTCTAAACTTTGCGAGTAGCAAGGATCACAATCCCGTTCTTGGTGATGTCACATACTATGGGATTATAAGGTCTATAATAGAGATAGATTATTGGAGTGCTTTCAGTGTTGTGTTATTCAAGTGTGATTGTTTCCATATGGAAGGAGACGATTATGGACTCACTCGTGTTAACTTCAAGAAATTGTGCTCTAAAGATGATCCTTTTGTCTTGGCATCACAAGTGCATCAAGTGTTCTGTACTCAAGATGGCCATGAAGAAGATTGGTACTATGTGAACTAAAATTTGCCAAGAGAATTTTTTTATGTCGAGGGGCAATCTGAACAAACGTTTATGAGTGAAGTTCGTGAACCCGCAGAGGATGTAATTTCTGCTACAGGTGATGTTGAACATCATAATTGGTGCAAAGAAGCTGCTTATGACTGTAGAAACCCATTTGTGTCTCCCCAAAACCAAACCCGGTGATGAGTACCTTTCGCGTCGAATCATAATCGAATGAAGCGAAAGTGTGGAAAGTTTAGTGTTGCGGATAGTTTTAATTTCTTTTCTCTTCTCTCTGTTTTTGAAAACTTATTTTAAGAAAAAAGCCAATCAAGTTTGGTTGGTCCATGATATGGGTCCAATAGTAGTTTAGTTGGATGAGGCTTGACATGAGCTTTCCAACGATATATTATAAGCCCAATTCCGATGAATATTAAGGAAGTTATGGCCAATTTACTGAATTGGGCCTGATTTAAGCCTTATATGCGGCCCAATGATCTAGAGAAGGGTCTAATATGATTTATCATTCCTAATGCAATTAGGAATGGTTTTAGTTTTCTAGATTCTTCTAGAAGGTTCTTTTCATTCCTAATTTAAATAGCATTGATAAATTGACTTTTGTTGACTTTTTAGAGTTTTAATTAAAATCAAAGAGCATTTTTGAGGAAAATACGATTTTATCCTCATGTACGGCAAATTTTATCTGATTTTAAGAAAACGCGTAATTTTCCAGATCAGCGCCAAACGCCAGCTGTAGCGCCTGGCGCCTAGCGCCAACAGCCAGCGTTGGCGCTGGTTCAGTTTTATGTGCGCCAGACTCTGTTTTGATATTTTATCTTTTTGGCTGATTTTCTCTACAAATAACGTATTAAAAAATCCGTTTTCGGTAACCGGTTTTCAACCAGTTTTCATCTAAAATTCACCAACTCTCATCAAGTTTTCCTTGATTACTCTCTCTCTCTCTCTCTCTTCTAAACTAGCTTTTACATACAAAATTATGCATTCATTAGATCTAGATACACCTAGCCATATTCGAAGTTGCCTTCGCCCTAGACGTGAAAGGTTTAATTTCTGAGGGTTTGGTCCCAAATCTCTCTTTCAATAATTATTTAATTTAATCGTTTGATTATTATTTTCCTTGAAGTTACTAACGTGTGTATTTTGTTATTAGAAAGAGGTACGAGGCATCAAAGTAAGTACTTTAATGGTTTTATTGATGTTATGATATAGAGTTCATGCTTAGATTTTTATTATGATTCCTAGTATCATGTCTAGGGTAATTTAATACCAAGTATGATGCTTCCTATGTTTTTCCTAATATTTATGATCGTTAGTATCATGTTAGGGTTAAAGATTTGATTTTTATTGCTTAGTGACATGCTAGAGTTTGTTATTAATCTTGTTAGTATCATGCCTAGGATCTTGCTATGCTTTAACATGATTATTATTATGATTAATATGATTGTTATTATAATTATTATTTTGATTATTATTATTATGATTATTATTATGTTACTTGATATTTATTGTTATTGCTTGATCACACCCTTTTATGCATGTTTAAAGGAAATTAGTACTTTTAATCACGCTTAATAAGATAATTAATAATCTTGTTAGGGTTAATATGATTATAATTCAAGTGATCGCCAATAATAGTTTTATTTGTGCATTAAATTCAACAAACATAGATAAACAGGTTTAGGTTTAATCCTATTGATTGTATGTTAGTCAAAAAGCGCACATGAATACGATCAAAATAAAGTAGAGTCCTATTATTAGGGCAGGTTCAATCTCTTTTAGGTTGGATTTGTACATTCATCCCCGAACCCTTATTTGGTTCAAGACCTTATGGAGTTGACGATCTCTTGGATCGTTAAGGGGTGTAACCTTCACCTCGTGAACGGTTCACAAGTTCCTAAAACTTGTTGGCGACTATTTTGCTCTATCTTCTTCCCTTTTGAACGCCACCGTACTTTAGTGTATGATCACTGTGGGGTTCAAGCTAGGGGTTAACGCTTGAAATTATTCCCCACAATGACAGAGTTGAGGTTCTTGTGAACAATGAAATTTTGGATGATAATCGAAAAGAAAGTTCCAATATAGATGACACAGATTAGGATTGGATGGAACCATCAAAGTGACGTGTCTGGAGAATTTAATTAGAATTATTATTATCATAGATTTAAACCTATTTTGTGGATTTGACAAACTATCATTGTACTGTTTTATTTTTCTATCTTAACTTCTTGTGTTATTTTTTTGTTTTTAAGTCAGTGGTTAAATTAAGTGTTGTGCAACAGAGCACTCTATGTTGCTAGTTGATTTGATTTGAGGTTTGATATTATAGTGGCAATTGAATATTCAAAGGGTCATTCTTATTTTCACAAGGACCCAAATTTCATTTAGCCAACTGTTGAAATATCCTTTCTACTCAGAATATGTAAATTAATCTAGACTTTGTTTTATGTGCAGTCAGGTGTTTTGAATGAACTACTGCATAATTTATTAAAAAAAACACATAAACATGCTGAAAGTCATAACTCTATAGCTGCACTATGTTATCAAGTCAAGATAACGGCAGGGTTCCCTAAACTAGAACATGTACCCATTGGTTCTAATTTTCCAATTTTGGGAATTTTGACAAAGTTTTATGCATTGCTCACCCCTAGAAGCAACCTGTTCCCTCACTACTCTCACTTTAGACAAAATCAGAACTAAAATCAAACCTGAATTTCATAACTGAAATTATACCTGAATTTCAGAACTGAAATTATACCAGAATTTCAGAACTGAAATCAGACCTGAATTTCAGAACTGAAATCAGACCTGAATTTCAGAACTGAAATCAGAACTGAATTTCACAACTGAAATCAGACCTGAAATTTAGACCTGAATTCAGACCTGAATTTCAGATCTGAAGTTCAGAACTGATAATCAGATATGAAATCAGAGCTTAAATTTGTGTGTGCGTGTGTATGTGTGTGTGTGTGCATCAAATTCAAAGCTAATGCTGAGTTCTTAAGGGATGTCATAGTGGCTTAGTGTCATAAAAGGCTGAATCCATATCTATATTATTATTGTCATAAAAGGCAGAGTTTTGAATGCTATTTGAACCAAACTGAATGCCAGCAATACATATATATTTCCATGACTCATCACTGCAAGTACACTCTTCCATTCCCTCTTCTTCGTGTTTCAAGGACTAATCACTGCAGGACTAATCTGATGTTTTTGGTATGAGTTTTCCTGTAGGAAGTGATGACAGATTATGAGAAAGCTAGACAAGCAAGGATAAAACAAAATAGAAGCAGAATGAAGGATTTGGGGGTTACGTCCATGGCTTATCAATTGAAACAATCTATGAAGGGATCGAAACAAACGAAAAAAAGCAAGAAGGTGACTAAAGATACTGACGAGTACACACCTGATGAAGAGGGTGAATTGAACCACTCAAGTGAAGAGGATGAAAATCAGATAAGGAAAAACAGTTTAAACTTGAGGTCTCGTTCGAAAAAGGTGTTTCTTTTTTTTCCTTTTCTGACAACTTAATTATGTGAATCAGAATTGATAAAAACTCATGTAATACTTTTAATGTTTTTCACAAATACATTATTGCAGGTTGTGGCATTGAGAGGGAAGAATCCCACAAACATTAAAGACACGACAAGTGTCTCTTCGGTACCAATGGCTAATCTTGTTAAGATGCGTCATCAAAACAACGAAAAACAACAAGTAGGGCAAGGGTTGCAAGGGAGAGATTCAACGCAAAGAAAAATCCAATTAGGCAAGTCTACTGCACAGAAAAATCTATCGTCCTATAGTCAGCAAGAGAAAGGGGTTGAGATTGGGAATGGTGTCCAAGCTAAGATAGCGCAGAGTAAGGCAATGGTTGCTCCTGGTTCACTCAGTGCTTTCAGGCAAATGAAAACACAATTGATAGAAAAAGAGAAAAGAGGAAAACAAACTTATTTATTACAACGACAACTACAACCTGTTAACAGGGCTAGTTCACAGGTGCTTTTAGGGGGTTCGCAAGCACACAGTTTTTCACAACCACAAAGAATTGAACCTGACTTACATGAAGATTATGAGAATCATATGGGTTCAAATGAATGCAATTTGGAACAATATGCGGATGAAGAAGATGAGTAAAGTGAAGACTTGAGTACTCTTACCCCCGAGGAGCTAGGAATGCAAGTTGAACCGTTAATGAATCAAGATCACGAAAGTGAAAAAATAGGTAATGATCACTATCATTCCGTTCTAAATATTTTAAGATAGATATGTTAAGAGCAATACATGATTTTAATGACTTTATTCAGTTAATGTTGATGTAGCACTTCCAAAAAAGAAGCGTATCAGAGGACCAACTATGTGTAAGGATGTTCATGAATGGACATTAGAAGAGCGTAAGCTTATTGTTCTTAATGAAATTGGAAAGCCTATTGGTCCTGACGATAAGATCGTAGATACATTTACAAGATTCTTAGGGACAATAGCTCGTAATGCTTCTCTAGCGTCGTTGAACAAGATTAATTGGCATCATGTTAAAGACAAGGAAGAAATATGGAGTTATGTGAAGGTATGTACCTTTTATTATGTATTCAAAGGCCAGTGTTTTGTGTCTTTTATACAGAGTATGAGTTACATAGCTACTGTAATTTTCATAGAGCTCAATGTTTTTTATTGTGAGAAGATACAACATACACTTGACTTTATCTAGCAGCCACATAATTAACCTACTTGCAAAAGACCTGACCTTCACAATAGCAAACAAGTAGGCCTCTGCCAAGTAGCTATCTTAACTAGATCCCCCTTGTAATTTTTTTTTCACACATCCAGCACCCTGCATAGCAAAAAATTTCTGATATAAAAAATAATGTAGCGTGTGATGTGTCTATTTTATATAGTATTTTACCCCCGTCTCTTGGTCATAATTAGTAGTGTTTTTGGCTCTTTAGAGCCACTTTTATTCCTAATTGGTGTTTTCTAGTGTTTTCGTAGATTTGGTTGACTTTTGCAAGGATTTACACTTTTGGAGTATTTTTCCGAGATATTTTGGAGCAATCACGAACACTGGAGAAGCACGACCAGATTTTATAGCCCAGGACTGGTTAGAGCCATCGAACCAGTGATTAAGGGCTCGGTATAGGTGATATCGGGGCATTTGGACCGAGTATTCAATACCCGAAAAGGAAACCCAGATTGACCCGAAGAATTGGAGCCCAATCGTAGTCCAATTAGTGGCCCAAGAGAGCCGCCCGGCCAAAGAGGCTGGCGCCCGGAGGCGCGCCCGTCCGGGCGGGAGAAGTTAAGGTCGGCAGATGAGAATTGATTCGAGATTAGGCCTGATCTTTTATGCATGAGTTTGACAATATTGATTCGAGATTCGACAGATGAGAATTGATGTTTAGGTCTAGTTTCAATAGGCAGGTTAATTTATAAATGGTTAGGTCGAGATTCGAAAGATGAGATTTAATACCTGTAAATTAATTGTGTGATTATAATACGAAGCGAAAGCCCTTTATAATCTTATTGATGTATGCATTGATGAATGATTATTATATTCTACCCTGCAATATTATTTATTGGTGAACCTATGCCCTAGATCCTTTTATATATTATTTTCTCCTTATTCTTAATCTCCGTAGTTTAGTTTATTATTCAAATATAAATATTGGTTACTTCATAATCTAGATTATATTAGTTAATTAGGAATAGATAGACTCGTTTCTTTGTGGATTCGACCCTACTTCCCTATCTCCATTAGTTAGAGGAATTTAGGTATTACTTTTTATTTGGGGATACGACTTTACCCTGTCAAAATTTTGCGCCGTTCCCGGGGAAACAGTTTAATTTTTATTTCTAATTATTTTTGTAGTCTAGGTTATTTTCTCTTTTTTGTCTCAGAGAACGTTAGTTCTTTGAGGCAAATCTCATATTTGCTTTTTTTTTTTTGTTTATGCCCAGGTGTTCCAGATCAGGGTACATCCCATTCGATCCTGAGATCGAACGTTCCTTTCATAGACAGAAAAATCTCTACAAGCAAATCTTGGCGGATTCTGGTGATAATAATAATAATCACCGCGATCCTCCAACTGGTTCTAGCGATTCATAGGTATCATCAGACGCATAATCAGAGATGGCGGTTCCAAAGAAGCTTAATGATTACTCACAACCCAAGCTTACAGATTTTCCACATCTCACCCCCATTCCGGCTCTTGATAGGGTATAATTTAAAATTAAACCTCAATTTATAACGATGATAGAGAGGAAGAAATTCAGTGGAGCTAAGGGTGAAGACCCAAATCTTCACATTGCAGACTATTGTCAATATTGCAATACCATCAGGCAAGCCGGGGTCACTCAAGACCAAATCAGGGAGATTCTCTTTCCCTTTTCTTTAACTGGAAAAGCTAAATTGTGGTTTAATGGCTTAAATAGAACTGCACATGGTATAACTGACTGGGAAACTCTTGTTTTGAATTTTTATAACAAGTATTATCCTGCAGAGAGAACAGTCGTACTACGGAGTGCGATTCAGAACTTTGCCCAAGAAGCCGATGAATCTTTATATGAGGCTTGGGAGAGGTTTAAGGACCTACAAAGAGAATGCCCTCACCATAATTTAGCACAATGGCAGTTAATCCAAGCCTTTTACAATGGCATTGGAAATTCTTCAGGAATAATTTTAGATTCTGCAGCTAGTGGGAGATTTATGAATCTAAATGTTGATGATGCAGGTCAGGTTATTGAAGATATGGCGATACATAATTCCCAATATGGGAATCCTAGAGGATTTTCTAACAAGGGGAAGCATAGTGTTGACTCTGTATCCTTTTTGCAAGCTCAACTGACCTCTATATGCCAAAAATTAGATAATCTTAGTACTGCTAATGTAGCTAATGTTTCTGCAATTAATAATAATTCTAATGAGGCTTTCTGTGAAAATTGTGGTATTATAGGTCATTGGGAACAAGATTGCAGGAGTTCCGTGGAGCAAGTTAATGTCTTCCAAGCCTATAGGCAGAATAACCCATACTCCAACACCTAGAATCCTGTGTATCGAAATCATCCATACCTTTCCTACCGGAGTACCAATGTTCAAAATCCACCACCACAAGAACCATAGGCGCCACAGCAACACCAGCAGAAATATTACCATCCCAATGCTGACCAGAAGAACTAACCACAACAAACCTCCTCATCTTCCGACCCTTCTTTGGTGGAAATTAGAGCAATGTTGGTTAATATGCAAAAGCACATGGAGAGTAGAGATGCGACAATTGATCAAATTCTAGCACATAATAAAATTGTAGATAATCAAATTGCGTAACTCTTTGCTACTCTACAAGCCCGCCAACAGGGAGCTCTGCCGGCACAGCCAACCAGGCCTTCGGATCAAGCCTATGCAATTACTCTAAGGAGTGGTTCAAACTATGAAGGGCCCCCTATGCCCAGAGTTGATGAACCTGTTTTATTAAATAATGCTAATCTTGATTCCATTAAACCTGACGATGTAGTTAATAGCCCTGCAGGGCTAAAGGATAATACTAACACATCTAATTCTACATTGCAGGATACGACTCCAGAGAAGGTGGCTACTCCAGACAAGAGCAACAATGCTCCAAAGCCAATTATCAAACTTCCATTCCCCAATCGCCACTTGAAGACAAATTTGGATAAGCAGTTTGGTAAGTTCCTGGAGATGGTAAAAGATTTGAAGGTAACAGTTCCCTTCACTGAATTAATCACACAAATTCCTTCATATGCAAAATTTATGAAAGAAATATTGACAAGGAAAAGGTCTATTAGTGAGGTAGAGACAGTAGCTTTCACTGCGGAGTGTAGTGTCGTACTTCAAACTAAGTATCCACCTAAATTAAAAGATCCGGGTAGTTTTTCTATCCCTTGTCATTTAGGCAATCTAATGGTTGATAATGCATTGTGTGACTTGGGTGCTAGCGTTAGTGTCATGCCATTATCTGTGTGTTCCAAGTTGAATATGGGTAAATTAAAAGCTACTAATATTACTCTACAAATGGCCGACCGTTCTTTCAAATACCCTTTAGGTGTTTTAGAGGATGTCCCCGTTAGAGTAGGTAAATTTTATATACCCGTTGATTTTGTTGTTCTTGATATGGCTGAGGACATGCAAACCCTAATTATTTTGGGTAGACCATTCCTCAACACTGCAGGAGCAATCATAGATGTGAGAAGTGGTAAGTTAACACTATCAATAGGGGATGATAAAGTTATTTTTAATCTTAATAATACCCCTAAAAGCTCCATGACTGAGGAGAAATGAATTAGTGTCATTGTGGTTGAGAAATATTCTAATAATCCCCAAGATCTTGAAAAGGATCCCTTGGAGGCGGTATCTTGTGTTGCATCCCTTTCAAATAAGATAGACAAATGGCAGATTGAAGCCGATGCAATAGAAAGAGCACTTTACACCGTTGGTCTTGGTTTCGAGGATGAAAAGGTGGAACCGATCAAGCAAGTTATACAAATTAAGCCTACGGTAAGTGTTCCGCCAGATCGAGTTGCAAGTGTTGAATGCAATAACAATATGAAGCAATCCTCGATCAAAGAGGGACCTTTGGTGCGCAGTATTGAAGACCTCCCAGTCCAAGTCAAGGAGGATCCACCACACAAAGTGAATTGGCGTCCCACAGGGTATGTCAGGAAGCCGCGTCGTAGCCTAAACACCGCTAGACCGGGTGAGAAACCACCCGATCAAGCGTTAGGCTAAGGGTACTAGTTATTATACTTGGTAAGAAGGTCGTGCGGAACCTAGATAAACCAGCGCTTTGCGGGAGGCAACCCGTATTTTTACCGTGCTTTATAGACTAGTTTTTCTTTCTTTTTCTTATAAGGGGAGGGATGAGGGAGTTTAATGAGTTTCTATGAGTTTTTGTATACAGTTTTGAAGGAAAATAGTAAGCCAAATTTTAAGAAAAGAAGAAAGTGAGAAACTCGACAATTGGCCCAAAACGTGAGTATTTTCGCCCGACCGGGCGATGGGCGCCCGACCAGGTGATGGGCGCCCGACCGGGCGCGAAACTCGTCGTAAACGGACAACTTTGTCCGCTCGATCGGGAAAGCCTCGCCCGACCGGGCGCGAGAAGAGGCAAAAATTCGAGCGTAAGATCGCCCGATCGGGCGAAGGGCGCCCGACCGGGTGCGAGAGTTGAAGGAAATCGGGTGTTTAGATCACCCGATCGGGCGAATGCTTCCCGACCGGGCGCGAGAGCACAACAAAATTCACTTATCAGATCGCCCGACCGGGCGCGATGCCCTGACTTCTCTTTCTTCTTCTTTCTTCGTCCCTTTTTCTCATTTCATTCTACTACCTCCATAGCTTTCTCTTTCTAAAACTCAAATTCTCTCTACCTTCTCTCTAAGATTTCTCCTTCATTCCTCAACCAAATTCAAAACGTTTTACATATTTGTAATCCCCTCTTCATCCTCTACATTTCCATATAAAAAATTTCAGATTTTATTCAAATAAATTTTCATACCCATTTCTACCATGGCTTCAAAGAGGGCTCGGTCTATTTTCGGTAGGAGCTCCAGTTCGAGGGAGGAATACGACCCGGATTTGCAACTCTCGTACTAGCCGACGATCTGTATTGTTAGCCAAGAGCAAAAGGAGCGGCTAGAACACTTAATCGGGCGTGAGGTAATTCCTTCTCAGTGGTTACACCGCCCTACTTTAGAATCATTTGGTTTGTATGATTTTGTAAAACGATTTTTAAAAGACATTGGCATGAGAAAATTTGTTGATATGCACTATCCTACATACCGAGAACTAACTTGTGAATTCTTTCCTTCTTTACAAGTTGTTAGTAGTAGAAATGGGCCGAATTTAATTTTTAGGTTGAACAATAGGAATATTAGTTTAACTTATGTAGAATTTTGTAAATTATTTGAATTAAATTCTAAGTTACCTCATCAATGGCATGCGGACTATAAAATGGGTGATATATATCATGCTTTGACTGGTTTGTCTATTCCCGACCCCCAACATGCTAGTACCAAACCTATTCATCACCCTGTCCCAAAAATCTGGCAAAGATTTGCGGGTTTGTGTTTTTTAGGTAGGAACGAGCCCCATAATGCCCAAACTAACGAACTAGCTGTCATAGGACACTATGTGTATGAGTTCGGGAAATTGAACATAGGTAGGTTTATTATTCACCATCTGAGTAGGCATGCCACGGCCAGCACCACATCTCGCACCCCCATCCGTTTAGGAGGCCTTATCACTCGAATAGTAGTGAAAAAGGTCGGTTTTGTAGTGGATGGACCCCACCAACTGACCAATTGTGGCCCAGATACCTATATGATTGCTAGGTATTTTGAGGAGTTGGGGTGGGTACGACCGGATAGCGAGCAGACACCCTTTTGGTGTATTAGGACTGGGAGCGGGCAACCTTTGCCCATCTTTCACTTACCCAGTCCTGACTTGACCGCCTTTCCCCAGGGCAATCATCCTACACATATGATGTTTTAGTTGCCAACGCTAGGGGGCGAGCACCACCACCACTAGTACCACCACCCCAGCCTTAGCCCGAGGTGGCATTCTCTCCACCTCGCATGTCCCACTCCGTCCCTCATGTTGACTCTGACCCAGTTTGGGACCTTCAGAGTATAGGTCAGGCCTTAGGACGTATCGAGCATTCCCATACTGACCTTAGGAGGATGGTAGGCTCTATAGACCAGAGGTTAGGGTACCTGGAGAGGAACCAGGGTAGAGCTCTCTACCCTATGTACGATGATTATGCTCGTCAGGGCAACATTCCCGACGACGCTATTCACCCTGACTGGTTTCAGCCTCCACCCCAGGGATACGATAGGGATCCCACTGCCCATGGTATTTACACTGACTATTCTTCCTTCCATGGGTATGGCCAGGACATTCCTTTCGGGGGACCGGCGGGGGGGGGGGGGAGTTTTCATGCTGATTATTTTGGTGTAGCTCTTCTAGGTGGTACAGGTGGCAGTGGAGGTGCAAGTTTTGGCTCGATGGATGAGGATGATCAGGACTAGCTATGTTGGGCTAGTTCCTGATCCAATGAGGACATTGTCTGATTCTGTCTTGGGGTTGATTTTGGATTTGGTATCTTTCTTTTTCTCTTTTCTTTTATTTTTGGTGTGTTTTCTTAGGATATATTTATTGCTTTCTAGGTTAGTTTTATTGCTTTCTTATATATGAAAAATACAAAAAAAAAATTAAAAAAAAAATCCAAAAATACGTTCCAATAAATTGTAAATCATGCTTCCCTGTGCCCCTTACTTAAGAAAATTATTTTGATTCTTGGTATATGATGATAAGCATTGTGGATTAGTTGATCATGATTTGATGTTTGATTGCCTTGAAATCTTAACATGCGTCAATTTGTCCAACTACTTGTGAATATAGTGCTTGACTAGTTGATTTGATTAGGAATGTGTGTTAGTTCCTGGTATGTCAATGAATTTGAGTATTGGTTTGCTACTATAAGTAATATTTATATGATTCATTATTATGCACATTGAGGAGGACGAAGGCGTTCATTCTTTTAGGTAGCCTCCAGATGATTGTAGATACATTTGTTCCCTTCTTGATACCGATGTTGTTGCCTTGAATTTTTGTTGTTTTATTAGCCACATTACAAGCCTATTTTGCCCCATTGGTTACTAGTCCCAAGCTTGGCTTGGAGGAACTATTAGTGAGTGAGGTGAGGGAGTTTGTAGTGTGCTTATTATTTGCACAATCTGGGTGGGTTTTTGAGAAGTTGTTTTGTTTTTTACCATGTTTATTTTTGATGAGTTTGAGAGTTATATTTTCTTGGAAAAAAAATCATGATGTTATGAAAAAAGAGAAATTCAAGGAAAAAAAAAAGAAAAAGAAAAAAATAAGTGAACTTCAACAGAGAAAAAAAAGAAAAAAATGTTCAATGTTCAAATGTTCTAGTTGGAGGTTGATTCAAAAGGAAAAATAATAGAGATTCAATGAAAAATTCAAGTTTGAAAATAAAGTTTGTTTATTCACTCCACTTCTTCATTATTATATTTTTATGAGTGAAATTGTAAGTGTTGGGATTGTTTATTATGATTGGAGTATGTTTGGTGGATTTTTGTTAGAGTTGGTTATGTAGGATATGTTGATCGTTATTTATTTTGATCATGGGTTTTATTAGGATTTTCTCCCTTAAGCATAGCTTTTCTCTCACTTGTTCCCAAATGATTCCTACCCTTTACCCTAGCCTTACATTACAAGCTTTAAAGACCTTCCGACCTTTGTGCATAGAATTGTATGAATGTGAAAGTGTTGTTTATCAATGCAAGTTATGATTTGACATATTTCGAGTCGACTAGTAGGTTGAGCGTTCATTGTTTTATACACACGGGAGTGTGAGTGGGAGGGCATTGTTCACATAAAGGGGTTGGATGGAGAGCGATCGAGTACAACTTTTACTCGCCACATAAATGAGAGTTGAGTGTGTGAGCACTAGTCTTGAATTCTATATGCTCTTGTGGTTTGCTCTATTTGACAATTGTTAGGGAAGATAGGTAATTGGATGGATTTGATTGGTTGATTTTGAAGCATGTTTATTTGATTTATCCTGAATCGTTTGTGCTTGATTTTTATTTTTTGGGGTGAAGCATATTTATTGATTCATTGATGAGATCTTTGCTTAGGGACAAGCAAAGGTTTGGCTTGGGGGAGTTTGATGTGTCTATTTTATATAGTATTTTACCCCCGTCCCTTGGTCATAATTAATAGTGTTTTTGGCTCTTTAGAGCCAATTTTATTACTAATTGGTGTTTTCTAGTGTTTTCGTAGATTTGGTTGACTTTTGCAGGGATTTACACTTTTGGAGTATTTTCCCGAGATATTTTGGAGCAATCACGAACACTGGAGAAGTACGACCAGATTTTATAGCCCAGGACTGGTTAGAGCCATCGAACCGGTGATTAAGGGCTCGGTATAGGTGATACCGAGGCATTTGGACCGAGTATTCAAGACCCGAAGAGGAAACCCAGATTGACCCGAAGAATTGAAGCCCAATCGTAGTCTAATTAGTGGCCCAAGAGAGCCGCCCGGCCAAAGAGGCTGGCGCCCGGAGGCGCACCCGGCCGGGCGGGAGAAGCTAAGGTCGGCGCCCGGTGACGCACCCGGCTGGGCGCGAGAGTTTACCTGAAGAGCAAAAAGGCGCGCCTGATCGGGCGGTGCCTCGCCCAACCGGGCGCGTGTAATTGTTAGGAGACGATTTCATTGTTTTAGTTTGTTTCAGTTTAGGATTTGTACAGAGTATAAATACTCCTCCGTAATACGATTTTAGGGTCTCTCTCTCTTTCTCTCTCTCTCTCTCTCTCTCTCTCTCACTCTTTACTCTTTCTTTACTCTCTTAATTGTTTTCTTAGATTTTCTCTCTTATACTTTTGTTCTTAATCCATTCTTAATTCCAGATTTGTTGGGTAACTATTTCTCTTCTCTTAATCTTAGTTGTTTATTTTATTCCTTTGATCATGCCTTGCTTTATTTCTTTGATTGGTTTAGTTTCTATTATGTGTGAGTAGTTTTCTTTCTAAGGCTTATGGGGATCCATAAATAATATGAAGGGGTAATTTATTGTTGTTAATTATCAATGCTAGATTAATTTCCTATTGATTGATTTAATGCTCTGTGACTAGATTAGGCCTGATCTTTTATGCATGAGTTTGACAATATTGATTCGAGATTCGACAAATGAGAATTGATGTTTAGGTCTAGTTTCAATAGGCAGGTTAATTTATAAATGGTTAGGTCGAGATTCGAAAGATGAGATTTAATACCGGTAAATTAATTGTGTGATTATAATACGTAGCGAAAGCCCTTTATAATCTGATTGATGTATGCATTGATGAATGATTATTATATTCTACCCTGGAATATTATTTATTGGTGAACCTATGCCCTAGATCCTTTTATATATTATTTTCTCCTTATTCATAATCTCCGTAGTTTAGTTTATTATTCAAATATAAATATTGGTTACTTCATAATCTAGATTATATTAGTTAATTAGGAATAGAAAGACCCGTTTCTCTGTGGATTCGACCCTACTTCACTATTTGCATTAGTTAGAGGATTTAGGTATTACTTTTGATTTGGGGATACGACTTTACCTTGTCAGCGTGATAAATAATGTTACATTCTAATACAAGTACAATTCTGATACATTCTGATACAAGTACAATTCGAAATAGATTATTATAAAAAGCATAATGTAGTTTTCTTGGTTAAGATGTGCTTCTTTTGGTGCTCCCTAATTTTAATGTTTAATGTTTTGCTTAATGCAGAAGAAATTCATTATCCCTGAAGAAGGTAAAGGCAGTGTATTGTCATACGTGGGAAGGCTTTGGCGTAAATATAAATGTAGTGTAAAGGCAATAAACTTTACTCCATACAAAAATGACGGTGATAGGTTGGCCGATCCACCTAATACAATTCGAGAAGCGCATTTCAAAGAGTTGCTAGAATTTAATTTGGAACAAGTTCAGGTAAAGTTTAATGTTTGTATCTGCTATATATATTACAATTGCTTATTACCTTCTCAAAATAAAAGATGTTAAACTATGAACTGTGTGCTATGCCTGCATGTAAAGATCAAATAAAAGTGAAATAAGTAAAGATCAAATATATAGGTACACTATGGGTCCGATGACTTTCGCGAGGAAACAACATAAATTGGTATATTTTTATACCGTTATTCCTTTTTTTTATTGTTCTCACTATTATCATTTAACAATCTTAATTGAATTCTTATTTGGATGTATTTTTTTTTATTTTAGCAACAACTAGATGTTGAAAAGAAGCCACCATCCTTAGCACACGTGTACAAAGAAAGTCGTAAAAGGAAAGCAGACAAACAATACAAAACTTCTTATGAGCCCACCCAAAGTAACATTGTAAGTCCCGTTGTCTCCATTTTTCTTTTTGGAATATGATTATTTGTTTTAAATTAGCTAGTTATTTATTTGTTATATTTCCATTATAGGACAAGATGGAGGAGGTCCAAATGCAAAGTGAAATTGATGGAGATTTTGCATACTATGAAGTAATGAATAATAAACCAAATAACTTTGGCCATAAAAAAAAAAAAAAAAAAAAAAAAAAAAAAAAAAAAAGTATCTAGGGATATGTTCACTAAGGGGAAAGAGCAACAGACCAATAATTCCCGATGAGTTGTTAAAGCCTTATAAAGACAAAATTGTGAAAGAAACAGTAGCAGAATTAATGAAGACGCTCAAGCAAATTGATCCTAAAGTGGTGGATACGTTGACTCGATCACTTGAAAATGTGTCATCCATTCCAGAACTTAGAGATCATGTTCCTAATTTACAGTCTATTGAACAACAACAAAATGAGGTAATGGTTAAATATTCACTTTTAGAAAGCACTAAATGTGATTATTATTTTTTGTTCTGGTTGTCTGATATATGTTGCTTTTATAAATACATAGGATCAAATGGTTGAAGATGAAGAATTGGAGTAGCAAGTCAGATGACATGAGCGTGATTGCATACAAGTACATAGTACTAGTAGTTGATGTTGTTACCATCGTTGTTGTTTCCGCTTTCTGCTGCTGTTTTTGCTCTTCGCCTGTTACTGCTTTCTGCTGCTACCTGTTACTGCTTTCTGCTGCTAGTTGTTACTACTTTCTGCTCATGTTTTCTGCCCAATGTTGCTGAGGCATGCTGCTGTTTTCTTCCTGATGTTGTTGATGCATGCTGTTGTCACTGCTATCTACTACTATCGTTGTCTGCTGTTACTGCTATTTGCTGCCTTGGTACTGCTATATTTCCTTGTAGCTGCTGCTTATGCTTTCTCTGTCCGGACAATGTCAACTGCTGCGCTGCCTGCTAATGTCATTATTGCCATTCTTTTTTTTTTAATAAGTTTTGAAACAAAGAAGTGGGAAGAATTTGGTGGTCTAATTTAAAGGCCAAAGCTGACTTATTTCTGTTTTTTTTTATTTTATTTTTTTTATTTTTATTTTTTTTTTACTTATCCGATTCAAACAAAAAATTGGTGTTTATGGATTTTTGTAAACAAACTATGAAATTACATACATTCAAATAATTGTTTATCGTATATGTTAAATTCACTATCGTTGTTGTTGAACATGTAATAATAGTAATAGTAATAGTAATAGTAATAATAATAATAATAATAATAATAATAATAATAAATAAATGTTACCTATTAATTAATAAGGTGTTACAGTAGTATGGAAAAAGTGATACATAATGTCGAATAAAGTGCTACAATATGTCACTAGATGATTGAAAAATGTTACCTAATAATCAACTAGGTGATACATTTGGTCGAAAAAGTGATACGTAATGTTAGATAAAGTGTTCCTAAATGATCCAAAAATGTTACTAAAGATGAGTAAGTGTTACTTGAGAAATAAAATGTATCACTTTAAAAATGATACTAAAAATATAAAAAAGTGTTACATAAGGGGGTTTAAAGGAGCACTTTTAAAAGTGTTACTATATGTTACCCAAAGTATTACATAAGACCTTAGGGAACATGAACGGAAGTATCACCCACTAAAGTGTTACCTATTGTCTATAATAACACTTTTACCACATTATGTAACACTTTTTGGGTGTTACCTTAGGTTAGTTTTGTACTAGTGATATATTAATCACAAATAAGAAACCTCTTACTTGAATGGAGTGACTTTGATCATAGAAAACCTTCTATCAAACCTTTTCCTTGTAATCCCAAAAGTAACATCACCATCTTCGTTTCCATCTTCATACCAAGATCTACACCCTTAAACTTGTTTAATTTCTGGAAATTCGTCATCATACCCTTCACATTTGCCATCTTTGTAGAGTTTATACTTTTGGATTGTTGAGGATTTTGTGTTTAAACAAGGGTCACATAGAAAAGCAAACAAAATTAACGGTAAAAATTCTTCGAGGCGTGAACGGGATCACTTTTCCAAAAGTATAATGCCGACCCTATACTACAACCGGGTATCACGGAAATTTACTCAGGAGATATAACTAAGAACAATTGTAATCACAAGTAGGATGATTACAATACAATGTAGATAAGTCTGTGCATCTATGATGATGATAATTAAACTTGCAAAATGGTTTCAAGAAAAATGAAGGAACTAATTATTTTCCTTAAGCTCCCACGAAGAAAATAAGGAACCGCACCTTTTCTTACTTGAAAAACCTTCTGACCACCTATGTTCATTGAACATAATTATATTAAAGCAAAAGGCAACCAACCGACATGAAGAAACCTCCAACAATATTGAAGAAAAAAATCCGTCAAACACCAAACAGCCTATACACGCGCCCGATCGGGCTGCGGCCGCCCGACCAGGCGGGTCAGGGTGAAGATTTCTGACGGCTCTCACGCCCGGTCAGGCGAGCATCACCCAGACCGGGCGGCAGACCGGGCAGCAAGAGGACATCAACTTTGGCTTCTCTAAACCGATATTTGAGCTTCTCTTTACCGAGAATCCCTTATTTTTTCTTCAATGGGTTATTAGCTTTAATAATCTTGATTAATTAATTTACAACACCATTGCCTAAGTAAATTAATTATTAACTTGAAATTTTGTCTCTAATTCTCAAAATTATTCAACAATAATGTCTTTTCAATTTTCACTATAAGGTCAAAACAACTCCCTCTAATTCATACCAATGTTATACAGAGTATTACATTTACGGAAGTTAAGTTTAACGCACCACATTTTATGTGAGTGAAAGTATTGTCCCACATTGAAAGAGTATAAAAGTGAAGAGAAATATTGAGATGTGTATCCCATATTAAAGAAAAGAGAAAGTCGTATTCACTTTATAAGGCTAAGGGACTACTCCCCTCATTGTCGTATGGTTTTGAGGTGGAACATCCTTGGTTGTAGTGGCGTATCCATATGGAAAATATTAAGCCGATGCCATAATTTAAGAAGTGATGTTAAAAGATTTTATATGGCAGTTACATCAAAACATATATAACCATATCAAAAATTTCACATTATAAGAATAAAGGAAAAAAAATAATGGGTTGGGGTAGGATTCGAAACCAAGGCCCTACCATTAGTTGTAAGATCCCCACTCAAACTTCACGAATACAGGCTATACAGCTGTGCCAATGTTCATAGTTAGTATTTTTTATTTACAAATATTCCAATTATCCTTATTTTTTTTCCAAAAATAAAAAAAAAATTATTATTATAACTTATGACGGGTCGTGTAAAGTGGACACTTGTGACGGGTGTGGCCCAGACCCGTTTATCATGGTATATTTTTAAACTTGTGTAAGTCATTTTTCAAACGACTATTATAGAATTCACAAGACATTGTTTATAGAAAAAAGGATTAATAATAATAGTTTGGATTTTTCAACAATCACCGCCAACTATTGTTGGTGTTTTAGTAATTACCACCAACATAATTTTTTTTAATTTTACCACCTACTATTTTCCTAAACTTTAAAACTTCCCACCATATTGACTATTCACTCATGTATGACGTCATTGTGGGCCCACTAATAACTACCATCCTTCCCTTTTTCCTCCTTTTCTTTCCTCTTCTCTCAATCAGTTCCTTGATGTCTTCTACTTCGCATTTTCTTTCATCCTTAGGCTCTGTTTGGTGGTAGTGGTTAGCGTTTTGACTAGTCAAAACGTTACCAGAAAAAATTTGAGAGTGTTTGGCAAGGTAACGGTTCTAGTAGCGGTTAGCGGTAGAGGTAGCGTTTAGGTAGCTTTTCTCAAACGTTAAAAATAGTAGCATTTGAAAGTAGCGGGTAGAGTTTGACAGCTTTTATTACTTTTTAAACAATATTTATATAAATTTTGATATATTTTAGTATTGCAACCGCTACTTTTGCCAAATACTCATACTATCAACCGTTGCTTTGACAGGTAACCTCTACTCACTACTAACTGACAGCTACTCGCTACCTTAACAGCTACCCGCTACTCGGCCGCTAAAAGCTACCCGCTACCGCTGCCACTACTTTTGCCAAACTGGACCTTAATGTCAATTAATCAAGCTCACCCACTTAAATTCTTCCACAAATTCAATTCACCTTTGACGTCTCACTTTTCCTATTCTCACCCTCCTAATTATGTTAAAAAAAAAAAAAAAAGCAAATTCCAAATTGTATATTGAATGGCGCAAAATAGACCAAGACTTCACAAAAGCGACAACATTGGAGGAGGATTAAGGTTTAGAGGACTTTTCTGTTAAACTCAATACGAATTGGAGATAGTTCAAGGTAAAACGATTATTTTTATTGACGATGGTAAACCCTAATAACTTGTTGCTACATGCATGTACATACTACTGGGACTGATATTAATTAAAACTTTGTAGCGTTACATTATTATAATTTCTTTTCTCCTACAAGTCTCCAACTAAACCCTAATCATTGTCAAGATTCACGATTCTCCATCATAGATCATAATTGGCCAACCTCGACGATGGTAGAGACATCAACCATACCCGTCAACTCGTACATAAACCATGGTAGATCATCATCAAAGGTAACATTTTCTCGAAGTGTTATTTAGATGAAATACTACAAGAGTGGGGGTGAATTGTAGTATGGAGGTTTCTAGTCACTTTTTGTGGAAATAAAAGAAACTAAACGAAAGTAGAGAAATAGTGTGTAGACACCCATTTGTGTCTCCCCAAAACCAAACCCAGTGATGAGTACCTTTCACGTCGAATCATAATTGAATGAAGTGAAAGTGTGGAAAGTTTAGTATTGCGGAAAGTTTTAATTTTTTTTCTCTTCTCTCTGTTTTTGAAAACTTATTTTTAAGAAAACAGTCAATCCAGTTTGGTTGGTCCATGATATGGGTCCAATAGTAGTGTAGTTGGATGAAGCTTGACAAGAGTTTTCCAACGATATATTATAAGCCCAATTCCGATGAATATTGAGGAAGTTATGGCCAATTTACTGAACTGGGCCCGGTTTGAGCCTTATATGCGGCCCAATGATCTAGGGGAGGGCCTAATATATATTTATCATTCCTAATGCAATTAGGAATGGTTTAAGTTTTCTAGATTCTTCTAGAAGGTTCTTTTCATTCCTAATTCAATTAGCATTGATAAATTGACTTTTGTTGACTTTTCAGAGTTTTAATTAAAATCAAAGAACATTTTTGAGGAAAATACGATTTTATCCTCCTATACGGTAATTTTTATCTGATTTTAAGAAAACGCGTGATTTTCTAAATCAGCGCCAAACGCCAGCTGTAGCGCCTGGCGCTGATGTTGGCGCTTGGCGCCAACAGCCAGCGTTGGCTCTGGTTCAGTTTTTTGTGCGCCAGAACTCTGTTTTGATATTTTATCTTTTTGGCTAATATTCTTTATAAATAACTTGCTAAAAACTCCGTTTTCGATAACCAGTTTTAATCAACAAAAACCAGTTTTCATCAATTCTCATTTTAAAACCAGTTTTAAACAGTTTTCACCAATTCTCATCAAGATTTTCTTTATTACTCTCTCTCTCTTTTTCTAAACTAGCTTTTACATACAAAATTCCGCATTCATTAGATCTAGATACACCTAGCCATATTCGAAGTTGCCTTCGCCCTAGACGTGAAAGGTTTTAATTTCTGAGGGTTTGGTCCCAAATCTCTATTTTCATTATTAAATTTAATTTTTTTGTTTTATTATTTTCCTTGAAGTTACTAACGCGTGTATTTGTTATTAGAAAGAGGTACGAGGCATCAAAGTAAGTGCTTTAATGGTTTAATTGATATTATGATATAGAAATCATGCTTAGATTGTTATTATGATTCCTAGTATCATGTCTAGGGTAACTTTAATATCAAATATGATTGTTACGATGCTTCCTATCTTCTTCCTAATATTTATGATTTTTAGTATCATGTTAGGGTTAAAGCTTTGATTTTTATTGTTTAGTGACATGCTAGGGTTTGTTATTAATCTTGTTAGTATCATGCCTAGGATCTTGCTATTATTATGCTTTAACATGATTCATGATTATTTTTATAATTGTTTTGATTATGATTATAATTTCATGATTATAATTTTATTATGATTATTTATTATTATGTTGCTTGATATATTTTTATTGTTATTGCTTGATCACGCCTTTTATGCATGTTTAAAGGGAATTCGTACTTGTAATCACGCTTAATAAGATAATTGATAAACTTGTTAGGGATAATTTGATTATAATTCAAGTGATCGCCAATAATAGTTTTATTTGTGCATTAATATTCAACCAACATAGTTAAACAGGTTTAGGGTTAATCCTATTGATTGTATGTTAGTCAAAAAGCGCACATGAATACGATCAGAATAAAGTAGAGGCCTATTATTAGGGTAGGTTCAATCTCTTTTAGGTTAGATTTGTACCTTCATCCCCGAACCCTTATTTGGTTCAAGACCTTATGGAGTTGACGATCTCTTGGATCGTTAAGGGGTGTAACCTTCACCCTGTGAACGGTTTACAAGGTCCTAAAACTTGTTGGCGACCCTTTTGCTCTATCTTCCTTCCCTTTGGACGCCACCGTACTTTAGTGTATGATCACAGTGGGGTTCAAGCAAGGGGATTAACGCTTGAAATTATTCCCTACATAGTGCAAGAGAGATTTTACGAGGAAAACTTCCTAGGCCAAATAGGAAGTGAAAAACCTCGACCCCAAGGGATTTTGACTCAAAACATTCCACTAAAATAGGCTGATGACTCTGTTACAACCTATAAGGAACTTAAGCCTCTATCGAGTTCCTCAATGAACCTGAGTTCCCCAATCAACTAATCCCTCAATCAGTTGATCACTTTAACTCTCTCTCTAACTTAAGACTTCACTCAAAGCCTAACTCAATATTTCTCTTTCTCTCAAACTTCACTCAAAGCTTTCTCTTTCTCTCAATACAAAGAACTCACTCAAGTTCTCACCCCAATTTAAGAGTTCACTCAACCCTCATAAATTCCCCATTACAAGAGTTCACTAAAACCCTTTAACAACTCTCAAATACATATGAAAGATGTACTATATAAAACTAATATGTTGGACACTTTGAGACTTGTAAGGAACTTGGAACCTAAAGGAACTAACTCAAAAACGTGGAGAGAAAATATAATTCTTTTCTACTGCTCTTCCACTTGAGACATACGCTAATTTGGAATGACTCACTAAAGTCAGACAAATTGAAACTAAAAATTAACTCTCCTTTTATAGCATGCATAAGACTTGACCACTAATCCCACTAAATCCTCCACTAACAATCAGTTCCCTTATTTTTAGGTAACTGCCAATTACTTGGGCAGTAGAGAAACGTGATAACGTGGTAGTCAAAGTCTTATACACAACGTTGAACGTGGAGTAAAATCAGGAAAACTGATTTCTTGGAGAGAAGATAAAGTAAGCAGTTAAAATCTTATTTGATGAAAAAGATATTTTTGTAAAATAATATTTAAGATATTTATTTTCCAAAAACAAAATAAAATCTTATTTGTAAAATAATATCAAAGATTTATTTTCCAAAAACAGTAAAAATCTTTTTCGAAGACTAATTTTATCACATTTAAAAACTTTAACTTTTTAAAGAAAAATAACTAAATATAAACTCATTCATTAAAAGAACGTTACTTATTTTTCTTTAACTGACCCATAAGGAACTGACTGGTCACTTAGTTCCTTCCAAGCTGTCAGACTTAGTTCCTTCTAGACTAAAGCTCCAATTTAGTTCCTTAGGCTTGTTCCAAACAATTTCTCTTGTCCAACATACTTACATGATTCTTAGAAAAATATACTCTTATTTTTCTGTCGTTTTCATGTTTTTCTGATGAAGCTTCTACTCCAAAGCTTCTAGTTCCTTCAAAGGAACTTCTCTTTGTTTGTTCCATTGAGGAACTGCTTCTTGTTCCCTTCCTCGAAGAACCAACTTATAGTGCTTCTTAGGAGCTGCATATAAAGTCTAAAAGAACGTTTGAACATTTAGACTTCTTCTCTTTGTGTTCCCTCGAGGAACTCTTCTTTTTGTGTTTCCCCGAGGAACTCTTCTTCTCTTTATGTTCCCTTAAGGAACTCTTCTCTTTGTGTTCCCCTGAGGAACTCTTCTTTTTATGTTTCCCCGAGGAACTCTTCTTCTTGTGTTCCCCTGAGGAACTGTGGGTAAGAAATTGTAATGTGGTGGTTCGGTTGTTGAATACGGAGTATTAACTAATTTAGAAGGTTTTGTGTAGAACGGACTCACGTGAGTCCGGTTTATGACTATGAAAATAATGTAACGCGATTAAAATCTGTCTACACCAATTTTTTATCGTTGTATTTCTTACAAGATTATCTCTGCTGTAGTCTGTCAGATTTACGGAAGAACAATACTCAATAATCATGTTGACGACTTTCTGGTCATCGTCAATCCAATAATGGAAGCCTTCGTAATGTTTTCATGGTCTAACGACTTCAATAGTCTAGCTTCTACACATAATTCCTCAAGATTTTCCAAGACTCTTCTTTTCCTGGTAATACTTTTATCTTACTCCAAGCAATTTCAGTACCTAATCTAACAGTGCCAGTTCCTTCTTCTTTGATTTCTTCAGTGAGTGGTGGACGGTACTACATGGGAGGAGTTGATAGGATGGGTGTTTGGTTTTTTTTTTTACCTGACCAATATAATTTAATACCTGACCAATATTATCTAATACCTATCAATATTATCTAAAATCTGATTTTTATAATCTAATTTCTGACCATTGTAATGTAATGTCGGACTATTATTATCTAATTTCTGACCATTATAATTTAATATCTAACCATTATTATCTAATTTATGACCATTACAATCTAATTTCTGACCATTATAATTAATTATCTGACTATTATTATCTAAATTCTGAGCATTAAGATTTTTATTCTTCAATTTTTTTTTCTTGTTTGTATGACCGGACTCACGTGTCCGTTCTACACAAAACTTTTACTAACTAATTTTAACAAAGGTAACAAGTTATGAATTGATGAGAAGTTTTTTAGTTACTCTAATATTAATAGGGTATTTTAGGGGAATTGCATAGGTTTGTTCTTTGCACAAGTTAAAGTATCGGGGAAAGAGTTAGTTGATAACTAAAGCAAGTATACCAGTAAATATAAGATACTCCATATCTTTTTATTTCTATTTTTTTTTAGAAAGAATCATATTTTCCTAAATGTTTTTTTTTTGGAAGAAAATCTTATTTTCTTAATTAAGTTAAGTTATTTTTACAGCAGCATATTATATCCTTAATTAAGTGTTGAAATATATCTGATCTCTAATAAATAGTTATTTCGTCAATATTTTTTTCAACAAAATCTTTCAGCTTAAGTAAGTAAAGTTATTTCAATTCTTTAGTGTCAAGTAAGAGCAAATATCTTATCTCTAACAAATTAACTTCTGTAAATATTTGACTTTTTTTGGAAAAATACACATGTATCCCTTACAGCTAAATATAAAAAGCTTAAAGTGAAAAAAAAAATACATGAAATAATATAGTAACATCTATTCAACTCATCTACACATAATATTGTATTACAAAATTAAATTACGGAGTAATACGGATCGGAGTACCAAATTAAGAAATATATATATATGTGGAGTGAATCATGTGAAAACAAGTCTTTGGCTGAAAACTGAAAACAGGAATTCTAGACCATTGGTTTTAATCTAACGGATTAAATTACATCTGCGTTTGGGTTTTGTTTTCTAATTTATGACCATCCATTATCTCTCTCCTCTATTTTTCTCTCTCCTCCATCTCACGTTCTCCATATCCTCTATTCTTTCTCCTTCCCAATTCAAAATTAATGTTGAACATCATCAAATTATAGAGGAATTTGGTTCAATCTTCATCAATTTCGTCATTAGCTTATAAAAAAGTGAGTTTTTCGTTTATGAATTTTGTTTAATTTTCTTTTTAATTTTGCTCATTTTTTTTTATTTTATTTTTTGGAAAATATCGATGTGATTTGTATTTTTGAGTTTCGACTTCAATACATTTTCATAGGAGTAGATTTGATCGATATTCTGTTTAATTTTGCTTGATTTTGCATCTAACAATTCCATAACAAATTTGTACGGCTTTTATCTAGGGACTGTATCTTTCATATTGATGGTCAGTACTTGGAGGTAGCATTGACTACTAAGAAAATGTATAGATGCGGTCTGTCTTTGCAGGACAATGTATTTGTCTATGTGGTTGCATCTACTCGTATAAAGTACCAGTCAGCATGCCTTATCGAATAGGCGAATGTATGTTTCGGTTTTAATCAAGCCTCTACGTTTTTGGCATGTTGAAAGCCTATAAGCTCAATTGGTCGAGCACCGTGTAATCATGGGATGTAGGTTCGAATCCTACATAGACTTTTTCTTAATACCCTTTATTTTTATATTTCGTGACTTTTGATCTCTCTCATGTATTACTTAATTGAATTAATAGGCCGAGTCAAATTGAAAAAGTTACCTTATTTTTATGTACAGTGACCTCTGTGCAAGCGTCGTCAAAATTGATATTGTTACCTCATTTTTATATATAGTGACCCACGTATGTGTAAATGTCGTCAAAATTAATATAACTCGATATAATTACCTTTTTTATATATATAGTGACCTCTATGTAATTATCATTAAAAATTCAAAATTGATATAGTTACGTTGTTTTTATATATAGTGACTCTATATAAATGTCGTCAATTTAGATAAAATCACCTTAATTTGGTATATAATGACCTTTAAAACGGTTGAATTGATTATAGGTAAGGTTGGGGATTTTGAACTGTCTGATCTTTTGTACTAATAATGAATGGTTGAGATTTGTTGTTTTCAGCATAAGCCTTGTTTTCAGCATAAATCTTGTTTTCAGCGGAAACACCCCGTATATATATATATATATATATATATATATATATATATATATATATATATATATATATATATATATATATATATATATATATATATATATATATATATATATAGGGTCGGGATCCGGTGAGAACCACCCTTTATGTGAGAACCCACACCTTATGTGAGGACAAATCTACGCCGCTAGATTATATGAAAACCAACCGCTGAGATTATAAGCCTGCCTAACAAACTAACCTTCAGCCTCTACTTTATCTCTCTCCTCTATTCTGTCTGCAAATCAAAGCTCATCAATGGCGATTTACTTATCAATGGCGATTCACTGAGTATGCTCTTCTTTCGGCAAATTTCAACGGTTTCTTTCTGCAAATTTCAACGGTCGCAATTTCATCCATCATTGAGGTTTGTTCGTACTTTTAATTTTGAATTGCATGTTAATCTAAATGTTCAAAATATTTTGATTTTACATCTCTGAAAATTTTGGAATTGCATGTTAATTTTCGAATTGAATTACATGTTAATTTTCGAATTACATTAATCGAATTGAATGTTTAATTGCATCAATTATTTGATTGAATTGAATCAATTATTTAGGTTTGATTGATTTGATAGAAATTTTAATAATATCATATTAAACTTGATAGTGATTGTAATGACGTCATATTAAACTTATGATAAAAAATGTTCTGAAATTTCCAATTGAATGCTCATATTATGTTGTTAGTAGGTTTTTATTTTCAATTGAATGCTGTTATCATGTTTTTATTTTCAATCAAATTTAAAATGAGCAAATAAATTAAAATGAGCAAACCTAAATATGTATAATAGAACATTTAAAATGAGGTAACTACAATTAAAATGAGCAAATATTAATTACATTCATAAGTAATTCAAGGATCTATAAGTACTCAGTGTTTCGGGTAAAAACACTCAGTATACAGAATTGTGTATGTATATGTGTGTGTCTGTGTGAGTGTGAGTAAGTGTAACAGTGTGTCTGTGTGTGAGTGTGAGTGTGAGTGAGTGTAAGAGTTTATGTATGTGAGCATTGAATTGCATGTTCATTTGACAAATGAGCAAACCTACCCCCCATGTCCCCTCCTCTTTCTACTTGCAGTTCTGATTTCAGAAACTGATTTCAGTTCTAATTATAGATTCTAAAATTATTGTGTGTGTGTGTGTGTGTTTGTGTGTGTAAGTGTGTATCTATATCTGTGTGTGTGTAAGTTTGTTTAAGAATCTGATTTCAGTTCTAATTATTGAGAGAGAGAGAGAGAGAGAGAGAGAGAGAGAGTGTGTGTGTGTGTGTGTATTTAAGTGTGTTTAAGGAGGTGCATATTCACAAATGATGAGCAACAACGAACAAGTTGAGAGTCAATCAAGTACCATCACAAATGTGCCAACTACTCCTACAATAGTAGTTTCTCCTAAAGTAGCACCTTTGCTCACTCCTGGAGGAACAAAAGAATGGCTTCCAATATACCCCAATGAGTTGAAACCAGCTATAGGGATGAAGTTTAATAATCTTGAAGAGGGCCTTGAATTTTATAAAAGATACGCATTTGCTGCTGGATTCAACACAAGAAAATCTACAACTAAAAGGCAAAGAAGAAGCAAAGAATTGAAATCACGGTATATCTTATGCAATAAAGAAGGATACAAAGAGAAAAGAAAGCCTACTGTTGAAAAAGATTTAAATAACAACGAAGGAGAAAGCAATGAAGAAAAAACTTCAATCAAAAGGAAGAGACTCGTTACTCGTGTTGGGTGCAAGGCACATATTATCATAAAGCATTGTGATGATAACAAATTCATAGTGTCACAATTTCATGAGGGACATACGCATCCACTTTATACACCTAGTTGCAATCTCTTCCAAAAAGAAGGAAGAAAAATGAACATATTGCACAAAAAAATAATTGTGAATAATTCTAAGGTACGATTTTCAAAGCCTCTTATGTTTCATGAATTCTCTGTATGTTCTAATAAAAGTTGTTTGCTCATTTGACAAATGAGCAAATAATTTTTTGCTCATTTGCCAAATGAGCATTGAATTGTTTCATGAATTCTCTTATGTTTCAAATTCTCTTATGTTTCATGAATTCTCTGTATGTTCTAATAAAAGTTGTTTGCTCATTTGACAAATGGGCAAATAATTTTTTTCTCATTTGACAAATGAGCATTGAATTGTTTGCTCATTTTAAAAATGAGCATTGAATTATTTGCTCATGTGATAAACTGTTTTGTTCTTTAAATAGGTGAATATTGGTCCCGTTACAACTTTTCAAATGATGAAGGAAATTTTTGGAGAATATGAAAACATTGGTGCATCTAAGGAAGATTTCAAAAAATTTCATAGAGATTTAAAAGCATACAATCAAGGAAGCGATGCTCAAATGTTCGTGGATAACTTTACCAACAAAAAGCTAATGTGGAGCGCTTTTTTCTTTGATTTTGAGATGGATGAAGATTATTGCCTTTGTAGAGCATTGTGGGCAGACCCCCTTTGTAAAAAGATTTATGCTCTATTTGGTGATATGGTATCCTTTGATACCACATACCAAACCAATAGGTAATTCATTTATGTGTTATTACTAGCTATGGCTTAAATTAATGACTTTGTTTTAAATAAAATTAGTTTAATTGCTCATTACTTCTATGTGAAAATTGAATATCCTCATAAGTCTAATATTCTTTGATAAGAGTATGTATATGGGCATTGAATTGCATGTTCATTTGACAAATGAGCATTGAATTATTTGCTCATTTGACAAATGAGCATTGAATTGTTTGCTCATTTCACAAATGAGCATTGAGTTATTTGCTCATATGACAAATGAGCATTAAATTATTTGCACATTTGACAAAAGAGCAAAGAATTGTTTGCTTATTTCACAAATAAGCATTGAGTTATTTGCTCATATGACACATGAGCATTCAATTATTTGCACATTTGACAAAAGAGCAAAGAATTGTTTGCTTATTTCACAAATAAGCATTGAGTTATTTGCTCATTTGACAAATGGGCAATTGATTATTTGATAATTTTTCAAATGAGTATTAAATTATTTGCTCATTTAAACTTTATTTTGTATGTGTAAACAGGTACAACATGGTGTTTACTCCATTTACAAGGGTTGACCATCAAAAGAATTGCATTAATTTTGCTGCTAGTTTCATAGCAAAGGAAGATATCGTGTCATTTGAATGGTTGTTCAGATCATTCCTCAAGGCAACGGGTGGGAATGAACCTAATTGTATGATCACAGATCAGGATCCAACAATGAAAATTGTTGTTAGATGTGTGTTTAAGAAGACTGAACATCGGTTCTGTATGTGGCACATAATGAAAAGGTTACCAGATAAGGTGGATAAATCAATCATGCAAGAAGAAAATGGTTTCCTAAAAAAATTATGTGCTTGCGTTTGGCACCTTGAAATTGAACCCGCTGAGTTTGAAGAAAGGTGGAACAAGGTAATGATTGAGTACCACTTGGAACAACATGAGTGGTTAGGTTATATGTACAAGATAAGAGACTAGTGGATTCCGTCCTATTTCAGAGGTGTGTTCCTTGGAGAAATAATGCGTACAACATCAAGATCCAAAAGTGAAAACAACTTTTTCTGCTCCTTTATCAATCCTCATGTGTCACTTGTTGAGTTTTACTTGAGATATGAAGCTGCAATTGATGCCCAGAGACACACTCAAGGTCAGAATGATAATGATTCAAAGCACAAATATCTTGAGTGCAAAACACCACTAGGGATAAAAAAGCATGCCTCACATTTATATACTAACTCTGTCTTTTATGAATTTCAATACGAGGTTGAAATTGCTTGTTTTTCTTGTGGTTTTGATGAATTGAAGAACGAAAATGAATTGGAAGTTGCAACAGTAAGTGAAGGAAATCGGACTAGAACATTTGATGTTGTGTTTAATCCAACTAACTATGACACCACATGTTCTTGCAAGCTATTTTATAGGCAAGGAATTCCATGTAGATATATGATTTGGGTTTGGAAAGCAAAAAGGTTTGAAACCATTCCTGAGCAGTATATGCTACACATGTGGACTACTATGGCATTAAAGAAACAAATTTTTGACTTGGGAGGAAACCTGTTGGAGCAATGTGCTAATATAATAGACAAGAAAAAATTGTTAAATGATTTATGGTCAGAGATACACACTTGTGTAAGTTTGGAAGAAGGCAAAGATAAAGATATTCAAGACCTTGTGATAAATCTTCAAGGAATAAGAAAGGATTTGGAAGCAAAGAGGATTGCAAGAAATAATGAAACAACAGCTGAAAGTGCAAAAAACAAAGAGCAAGACATTAAGCTATTGATTGGAGCTAGTGTGCCAACTGAAATATTGTCAAACCTCCAAAAGTTTCAAAGAATAAAGGGACTGGAGTTCATGTATCAAATGAAGAGACTTCAAAAAAGAAAGCGACTGAGATTGATATGTCAAATGTTGAAACAAGAGGTAGAAGTGCAAAAAGGCTTAAGGGAGAAAAAGAAAAGGTTGTAGAACAAAACCAAAAAAAGAAGAGATTATGTAGAGTTGTGGTGAATTGAGTCATCATGATATTAGAAATTGTCCAAAAAAAGTGTAATGGTACTTTTATATACATATAAGATTTTGTTGAATTTTTATATTTAATAATATATTATTAATTTTGTACTAATCATAGTTTAATGCTTTGCAAATATTGTTGAATTTAAAATAGAACATATTCAAATGAGTGACTAAATATTTGTTCATTTTTCAAATGAGCAATAATTCCTTGCTCATTTATCAAATGAGCAAATAGTTAACTATTCATTTTGTCAAATGAGCAAATAATTATTTGCTCATTTGGCAAGTGAGAAAATTAGCTATTATATGAACTTGGAACAATTGCACTCTTGTTTCATCTCCCGGTCCAAAATCAGCTCTCCTAAGGTCAAATGAGCAAACATATCTTTTATCAATCATCAAATGAGCAAGTAATTCCTTGCTCATTTAGCAAATAATCAAAAAGGAAAATGCTCATTTCTTAAATGAGCAAAAATAGTTGCTTATTTGTGAAATGAACAAACATTTCTTTACTCATTTATCAAATGAGCAAGAAATTCTTTGAACATTTATCAAATGAGCAAGAATTCATTGATCTATCATTTAATGAGCAAGCATCTGTTTGCTCATTTAACAAATGAACGAATATTTCAAATGAACACTGGATGTATATAACAAGGTATGTGAAGTAAAAACAAACAAAAGATTGAATTTTAATTCAAATATAATCATCACTATAATAAAAAAAGGGTAGGCTTATGTTGGTAAAATTTATTTATAAATCAGTTTTACATCATTCAAGACTACTTAAAAGTAGATAAAATCTTAATTTACCCAATTTCCTAAACCAAAAAAGACAAATCATCACTACTAACTATTTAATTCCCTAACATTCAGCTTTCTTCAGTCTTTTGCTTTTTCTTCTTCGGGCTCTTCTTTTTCAGCATTTTCTTCTTTGTCAGCAACAGAAACTTTACTTTGCTTTTTCTTCTTCTGAGCAATTTCTTTAACAGATTGAATAGTGTTCACTTCACTTGTAATTATTCCCAGGGTGTACTTTTCACGAAGTTTAGCCAAGATTATCAGCTGCAAAATAAATAACATAATCAAACCCTATACAATTAAGGAGACTTCAATAACATGAGCAAACATTTATTTCAATTAACATTTATAAGACAGTAACTAAAAGGATTAAGGGCTCAAACTAATTTCAATTAACCCACAACAATGAGCAATAGTGTATTTTTTTAGGCTTGAATTTTGAAAGTTCAACAATGAAAAGGATGATTTCCTATTTTCTTTGTATCGTTTATCATGCTTTATTGCAGGCCAAGCTAACCATTGGTAATATCCAGGAATTCTCATGTTTTCTCTACACAACAAATGGGCTCAGAGCAATTTGGTTTATGATCTAAGATGGAATAAATGCTCACTGCAAATGCTTTCTCTTGACCTTGCAGGTCCAACAGAAACTTAATGAGTCGGAGTACAAAGATTTTGTCGGTTATTTGAAGGCACTGAAGTAACAAACTATGAAAATAGGTTCTGTTTTGCAATCTATTGCAAAACTGTTTTTTGGGCAAGAAAAACTACTCCAGAAACTACAGTGCAAAGGAGTTCATGTTTTTCTACAAAAGTGCATGCCCAAACCATTAATGTCACTAACAAACAACACCCTCCAGCAATAAAGCATCAAGTTTTCCATAATTCAGATGTAAATCATCATTCTCTCATGAGCCAAACCATATACAGTAGCATAAATATGGACCCGTTACGTATTTAAAATCAATCAAGTTGCGTAAATGCGTAAGGTCCAACAACCTAATCACAAGTTTCCTCAGTGACCAGTAAAAGTAACACCACAAGTTGCGGTTGTAACTTGTAAGGCAATGGCCTAAGGTATTGCTAGATTAATGGACCGTAGACCTCAAAATTAAAGTAAACATTTGATAGGAATCCTTGCTCATTTATGAAATGAACAAGTAAATCCTTGCTCATTTGTCAAATGAGCAAACATTTATTTGCTCATTTGATAAATGAGCAAGTAATTTCTTGCTCATTTAGCAAATAATCGAAAAGTTAATTGCTCATTTCTTAAATGAGCAAAGAATTAATTGCTCATTTGTGAAATGAGCAAACATTTCTTTGTTCATTTATGAAATAAACAAGTAAGCAAATAGACCAAAACATCTTATTATTAATGAGACTAATCTGAAAGACTTACATTATTTTTCTTCAAACCAGGATCCCACTTTGCACAACCCATGTATGTTTCCATGAGTCTCATCACTGCAACTCCACAATGCAAATGATTTTTATCCAAAGACTTCCATGAACCATTAATCACAAAAATATAACTCATCAACTAATCTACAAGAACTCCCATACAAGAAATACAACTCATCAACTAATGTACAACAACAACAAAAATAATAATAACTCAAATAATAAAAATAAAATGAGCAGAAACACATACATTGTATTTTCTTGAGGAACATTTGCATTTGCAGAATCCATAGCAATTACTTCTAGGTTTCCAAAAAAGAAACAAAGAAAATGTAAGATAATTACTCAAATGAAGCAAAAATAAAACTAAAATCAACTAATAATTACTCAAATAAAGCTATAATCAAGCAAAAAATAAGATAAAACCAGAAAATAAAACATAATTGAGAACTAAAGTAAACCGAAAATCAAATTAAAATACACAAAATAAATAAAATACCTAAAATCAAACTAAAATCAACATAATAGCACAAATTATCAGTGATTTCTAGGTATAAAAAAACGAAAAAAACTGGACAATAACGAAAATAAGGCAAAATCAACTTGATAACTACTCAAAAAACGAAAATAAAACTAAAATCAATGAAAAAAACAAAGTAAAACATTATCGACACAAATTGATAAACAATGTGAGCTGAAATCAACGAAAATCAAACGAAAATAAAACGAAAATCAACGATGAATGTAACTGAATGTGACCTAAAATTAATTGAAAACACGAAAATATAAACAGTAAATTCACCTTGACAAAGAATTGATGAAGATTGAAGAAGTAGTGATGAAAAATCAGAGAGAATAGCAGAGAGAAAGAGAGTAGAAAACAGAGAAATTGAGTGAGGATAGAGAAAATAGCGTGTGAAAGAGGAAGGAGGAGAGAGAAAAAATGCAGGAGTTTTGTTTGACCGGGATTTAATTGTGGTCGTTGGATGCAATTGATCCAACGGTTATAATGAGTCCTCACATATTATAGAGTTCTCACATAAGGGATGTGGTCTCATATGATCTCATTTCTATATATATATATATATATATATATATATATATATATATATATATATATATATATATATATATATATGGTGTTTAAAGAGCCACAAATTCACAGTGACGAGTGATGACAATCGATATCAGAATCACCCATAACCGGAAGGAAAGCTTTAACCTCTTGAGCTTTCCCTCAGTCTCAATTATGAAAGATACTAAGGCCCTGTTCTCTTCACCTTAAAAAAATAATATTGAGTAAAAATAATTTCAGTTCAGTGAAAATAAGTTCAGTTCACTAAAATTAATTTCAGTTCAATAAAAATAATTTCAGTTCAGTAAAAATAAATTTAGTTCAGTAAAATTCAGTTTTCTTAAAGAAAAATTATAATAGAAAATCAGTAAAAATAATTTCAGTTCAGTAAAAATAATTTCAGTTCAGTAAAATTAAGTTCAGTTCAGTAAAAATAAGTTCAGTTCAGTAAAAATAATTTCATTTCAGCAAAATTAAGGTGAATCAAACAGGGCCTAAATGTACGAAGTATAATATATAGCTCAAAATATTAAACCAAGTTATAATTCCAAGATATTAGACTTACCAAATTCGTTATATTACGGAATTAAACACAAACAAGCTCAAAAATAAAGACAAATTTTTAACTAAATTGAATGTACAATAAAATATTGTACATCCATTATAAAGTTACCCAAGTATAAATAAAAGTTACCCTGATATAAATAAACGTTATGAAGTATTTATATTTTTTTCATAAAAGTTAACCAGAAATTTATAAAAGCGGTCCTAAATTTGATAAAAGTGACCCCCTCGATATACAGTAAATATACATCTGTAAAAACAAAAATTAAATCAATAGTGAAAGGTTATCTTGTTAAATATCAAATGGACATACTTTAGGTTGGGGATCGGAACTTTCTTTATTAAATGCTATCCATTAAAAGAAAGGAAATAATTTGAAGTTAAAAGATAATAAAAAAATTCCTTATTTTAACCCATCAAAATTAAGGCACCGCTTTAATAATTCTTGTAGTGCAAGAATAATAAATCAC